TAAGACTGTTGTTGAATAGTAAAAACATCTATTTTTCCCTCTCACATTATTCCACTGAGAAGTCAGCAGATCTTACTTGTTTTTATGCGTTTGGTGCTACAAAAAGAGTCCCACAATATTTCCTATGAGGAAAAAAAATGATTAATTTTTCATAACTTTTTTTGTTGTTATTTTTTTCTCACATCAGCAGCATCTGTATCCTGGCTCATAAAAAAAGCAATATTGTTGCTATGGTGTTGTGAAACTGGCCTCACAGGGCACGGGAAAAACCTGCAGGACTTATTTTCTGAGTCTTAGCTGCACGATGACTAAAAGCTTAGAGAACGCTCGGTCCTGACGCACGCACACAAACGCTGTGCTACAGGTCTTGTGGTTTTTCTCTCTTCACTACCACAGCAGCTGTTTCCAAACAAACACATTTGATACAATTTTTAGGTATTTATAGCAACTCTGCTATTTTCTTTGGACTTCCCTTTGGTTACGCTAAAGTTCAGCGAGATTACATTGTATATGTGTGTGTACGTGTGTGTACAGGTGCACGCGTGCGTGTGCATTTGTGTTTCTGTGTCACCATGGTAACAGCAGAGTGCGTGGGTGAGGGCTGCATGTCCTTGTGTTGGGGATTGTTTTTTTTTTTCTCTTGGTTTTCCTTCCTGTGTTGCTGGGTGCAGCAGAGCCGCGGTGCTGGCTGTTGCAGCTTGTACCCGTCTCCTCAGAATCTCCACTCATCCCAGTGAACCAGTGGGCTGCTGGATAAACATACGAAACCAAAGACATTCCAGCCAGAGCACACATGCTGTAGATACAGATTCAGTCCCAGGATTTTTAAGGCCGAATTGTAAAAGCAATTAAATCTGCCCTGTTACAACATACCCCGTTTTGTGAAAACATGCAACATTAAATGCGTATAAGTTACTTTTCAAATACAGTAAACTACTAAAATTCAGCTCAACATTCAGTTAACAACATATTTGATTCACTTTTTCCATGAGATTAAGTGAACATGACTAATAAGTAGTTAAATGATATCAATAAGAGCCTAAAGGTCTTATCAAGGTGGCTACTGGCAAGACTGCTTCTAAAGGACTTTACTTGAATGTGACAAAAATGACTTTGCAATGTTATAAGTTCACATAAGGTACACAGACAGTGTACAGTATTTATGTTTAGTGTTTTTGATTGTTTTCCCCCTATTTTACTGCATGTTAGGAAAAGCACATGTCAGTGCGTCTACAATCTGGAGATAACGCAGTGAGTGAACGGGCTGCTTCGACTGATAAAAACCAGATACAGGAGGTAGCTAATCCATCAGGGACCTGTGTCATATGGTTATGAATAAAATATAGCATCAGTGTCAAAGCTAACTAGGCCATTCTCCTTCTCCCTGTTTCGAATCAGGGATCTCTCTCGGTGTGGCGTCGTGGACAATGAGCTGTCGCCGTGTTGCTGTCGGACCTGCTGTCGACTAGTTTCATTCATTCATTTTCACTTTTAAGCATCGCTGTCTTCCGTTGTCAGTCACACTGTGCAAAATGAAAATCCGAGACGTTTGCTCAATCCGAAAAGAAATGAACGCTTTTATGATCCATAAATGAGCCCGTGCTGATGCAGCTCGGATCATTAGATGACTTCATTCTGTCATTGATTTCATGAATCTGCTTCATTAAGATGCACGTGAAACCTGAAAAGCGAGTAAACTGTGCACTCTTTGGTCTCTATTCTGTAATCCAGGCTGTCAAAGTAATTTAGGATGATTGACAGCTTTTTAGATTTCATCTCCTCTGTGACAAGGCAGGCTGATGAAAATCGCTCCTGCTGCTACATATGTATCACTGTATCTGTATGAACAAATGCAGCAAATGTTAAGACTGATGTGTGTAAAAAAACAAAAACAAAACAAAAAAAACCCAGTTTGATGGAAATGATCAGAGCCAGTTGCCTGGAAACTCAATCTGTCCCTCTCTGGGATTGAACATATAGTAAATATGTGGGCTTTCGCACCTTTTAATACAAATAAAAGTGCTATTTGGTTGGAAAAAATATTTACGGGCAATTCATACTGAAAACGATTGTGATAGCCTTCGTTAATTTGTAAATCTAGTTTAAATCTGACTAACAGGGATTTATGAAATTGCGTTTTTAATGATGTTTTGAATGCTATTCCTCTGGCAATACATAGAATGACAATAACAAGCAATTTCCCTCCGCTAAGAAGGTTATACAATAATTTTCTGCTTTAATATCCCATTTTTCTTACTGTATCGATTTATTTGTGACCGCCTAACAGAGAGGAATTGATACATTTATGGCCAGCGAGTGCCGGCTCTGCCCCGATGTTGTACATCCAACATGAAGGCACAGCCTCTCTCCATAAGCTCGCAGCCAGTTATCCCCTCCATGCGTGTCATTTGAGCTGATGGGCTTGGCTCAGTTGTCTCCTCTGCTGAGCAGCGCCAAATAGAGCAGGGCCGGCCTAAAAGACCCGAATGAAATGAGAGCTCTTTACATGTTTGTGCCTATTCTCTCTGTGATCATAGAAAATGGCTAATTGAGCCCAGCACTGTGATCAGAATGGACATAAGGGAGTTCGAATGAAAGGTATCTTCTAGGATCTGCATTGGACTTGCTTTTACAATCTTCAGTTGCCAGCAACTTTTCCAGCAGGAATGAAACGGGGATAGATGTTGGGAAAGTATCATCAGTACCTCTGAGAAGCTTCATTAATACTTTTTTTTTTGCTTGGTTCAAAGCTTGTACCTTTTGTACAGGTACAGTTCAACCAGGAAAAGACAACAGGTGGTTGATAAAAGACGTATATATATATTTTTGTAGCAGCCAGAACAGATAAATGTCATTAAAAAACAAATGCTGGGTAGACCTTCAACTTCCACATGACTTCAAGCGGGAGTTCTTGCATTTCAGTTGGCCTATGACACGTCTATAGCTCAAGTAAGGTTTACTCTGTGGTGTTTCCATTATTAAGTGTATAGTACTTTTTCTAACTCTGTAATGCAAAAAATAACTAAACTTTCACCACTGGAAAGAGGACAGCGTTTCCTCAGTGGGTGTGTTGAAACACATTCACATAATTTTCCAGAAAAACATGCTAGAACTGACAAAAGGCAAATATTTTATATTAATAAGGCATACTATATTTCTACATATTTGTGTCTGGATGAACAGAGACAGTGGCTTAAATCTCTATAGTAAAATCTTGATATTTGGCAAACATCCTTCCACTTTGACTGCATTTGAGCTGGAAGCATCGCCGATATAAACACTGTCCCTGTCCTTCCAGTGTGGCAAATGTTCATCTTGTCCAGTGCAACAGGTTGATCCAAGAGGTTTTGATGGAACGAGGTTTCTGTAGAGCTGCAGCCGCCACGCAGCAGTCTCTGATTTTCTGTTGCTAAGTGATCCTGACTCTTAGAGGAATATGAATCAAACAGACTTCACTCTTATCAGGTCTTTCTGGGTGTGATGAGAGGCAGAGCAGGTCAGGAGGTTGTTAGTTTGATCCTTGGTTCTTCCAGTCGGCATGGCTTAAATTTCTTTGGGCAAGATGCTGAACCCCATGTTGCCCTGACCTATCTGTCCAGACAGTAGCGGTTTTGGATACGGGCGACACGGGCGGTTGCCCGGGGCGGCATCGTGGTGGGGGGCGGCATCACGGGCATCGGCAAAAAAAAAAAAAAATGCTCGTACTCATGCTGCCCCGACGTCACCCAGCGCATATTGGGAATGTCATAGATACCGATCAATTTTCTATCGCCCATTTGCTGGGAGTAAGGACGCCCTTCGTTTGCGAGGAGAGGGCGGGGCGGCGGGGGATTCTCTGGCTGGCTGGAGCAGCGTCTAATAACCAACCAACAAACACGAAAACACCAGACATTATAATACAGACTTATAATTTGCACCAATGTTTTATCAAAATTCTATACACAAAAAGTGAGCGCGAGAGCCCTCAGTGCGCCTGCTTGCTGCTGAAGTCAAAGTAAACTTTATTGTCATCTCCGCTACATACAGTCCAGTATATAGAGAGACGAGACGACAAGGCTCCAGTTACAGCAGTGCAAGTAAACAAACAATATATATAAGAAGAGTAAGAAAATAAATATACACTTTAGGGCTCGGGGTAAAGGGATCAATAACAATTTAAAATTTACTGTTTGATGATTCAAAGTCTCACACACAACCCGTCGAAAGGGGAGGGGGGGCTGCTTCCAAATAGAGCACATTTCATTTATAATGATGTAAATCCAAGTCCATCATGTATTCTTGATTTGAATCCTGGGTTGTGTGAAATCCCAGAAATGCACCATAGACAAATCGAATCTGTTAACTAAGGTGTAGGTGTGTTAGATCATGTTGGGGCGCCAGAGGGAGTGTTCGCCCAGGGCGCCAAACAGGCTAGGACCGCCACTGTGTCCAGAGAATCAAAGACATATCCCTTCAGCTCTATCCTGAGCCTTCAAAACTCCGAATAAAAGAGGCACATGAAGGTGAAGTCCATTTGAATACTGACAAAATAATGTCAGCAGTCAAAAAGTTATTAGGTCTGGGTCTGTAGGTCAGACTATCTAGCTACATCTTAGCTACTAAAACAGTGACAGTTACTTTTTAGACATTTGCAAATGTTGTGGTCAAATAGAAATTGACACACATTATCTCTCTGATTATAACAGGTCCTAGAAACCACTTGCACTGTTCCTGTGTTTCTTCTTTCTTTTTTTTTAATACTCGAGAAACAAAAGAGGCCTCACGTTAAAAATACGAACACTATAAATCAAAATTATAGCTGATACACGATGTAGAAGTGAAACAGAATGGATGCCCGCTGACTGCGGTCGAGATGTGGCTTTTTTCGAGTGTAACTGCTGACTACGACAAGAGCTAAGTTCCATCTGTGAATCACTTCTTCTTATGGTTTCCAAAGTTGTTTCCAAAGTTGTCAACAGAATAACAAAAGAATGTAGCAACTGGTGTTACTTTGTTAATGTCATTGTGTTCTTTTCTTCCCCTTCTCCCAAACACCAACAGAGACAACATGGGAGAGACCGTCGAGTGCACCGGGGACGCCAAAGAACTCCTTCCGACACAAGAACTCTCTGCCAGCAGGTACTGAATATTTATTTCTCCAACTCAGCCTCTTTTACTTCAACTTCCTCAAGTTATAATGCCACAGGGCTGTGAATTCTCTGAAGATTCCACAATGGCACAAAGCACCCACTCACATACACACCACACACAGTCATTTCCTGTAACTAACTTAATCTGGAGCCTCAACTAATGAATTAAGGCCTGCAGTGTCCCTCTTTTGGCTCTGCTCCTAAAAGAAGACAGAAGGGAAGAAAGAAGCAGTAAGGTTTCTAAGTGGTAAAATACAGGAAGCGGGCTATGTTCATTCACTTTGGTTAGAAATTACTTTTCTTTTCTTGCCTTGTAAATAAAAGAATGGAGAAAAGGTCGGCCATGTTTACTGTGTGAGTGTTTAGTAAGTGGAGGTTAGCTGATTCTTAGTAAAAGCCAGTTAACGTCTCTTTTCAGTAGTCGGGATTGTTTGGATTGCGGTTGTTGTTGTTTTCACAGGTAATCCTGCATTTTCAAATGCACTATGACCAAGATTTTCAAAAAAGGTGTAATTTTTTATTCAACATGATCGACTGACCACATAAAATATTTACCGAGGTCAAAACAGAGAATAGTTTTCTCATACCTGCTGGCCTTCAGGTAAAATCCAGGTTTAAGACACTTCGATATTGGTTTCATTCTTCTGACCCAGAAGCTACGTCCATGTTTTTCTTTAGGTTCTTAAACCAAATGATCAATTAAAGTTTGTTAAGCTGTAAACAGTCATACTATTAGAAAATGTGTTAGGTTAGCATAAATTGACATTTCCTGTAAATTGCATTTTAAACCAAATGAATACTTTTTAGATTTTCTTATGTATGACAAAAATAAATAAGTCAACACAGTCACATGGATCATTAACAATAAAGCACGACTATTTTTTTCTTTTTATCTAATAACATGAACAACGTTTAGCTGTAGGCTAAAATTGTTAGCTATTGATAGCTAATTAGCTGCTATAGCAGTATCCTCTTTCTGGCTAGCCACTGATCCATTGGCTTTGTTATTCTAAATCTCTACTGAAAATATGTCAATTCAGTGATTTACTGTAAAACTGAGATTTTTACATATATAAACCTTTAAGACATTCCCATGTAACCTGGTGGTGGATTTATCTATACCACAAGCTGGTGTAATGTAGCTAACTGATTATGTGTGTTTGTTCCATTAAAGGTATTTTCAGACCACAAAGCAGAAATAAGTTCAGTTCAGTTGTGGTTTGGTTCAGCTCTTAAAGATGAGGAGCAAACTCCCTTATGATAAGAATAAGTTTACATCTTATCCATAGAATCCTGAATGTCTTTCTTTCTGCCTGTCTTTATCTGTCCTGGTGTCTCTCGTTTGTTTTTCCAGTGAATGGATTTCACTCAGGTGGTAGTCCCTTGCATCATGTGGAGCATTCACACAACAGTCTGGTTAGGAAGAGCAGTACAGAACCCCAGGTAAAGCTGTCTGATTTTATTCTTTTGTCCTTGACTATATCACTGAAAGCATAGATGCAAAAGATGTGGATATTCAGCCATCAAGGCTTGCTTGTTTGCTCCTTTCGAAGAAAGTCTGTCGATGTTTTTTAACGTTTTACTATCCCAAAGACTCATAAGTGATGCGAGTCCCCCAAATTTAGCACAAAAGTTGTGAAATGTCACATGGAGTGAAATTAACTGTGCGTCTAAAATTAGTGGTGTTTTGAGAAAACTTGCCTCACTGCTGTCTCTTCGTGCTCTAAATCATCTTCCACCCTGCCAGGTTTTTCACAGCCATGACATTTAAACAGTCTGTTTGTCCTGCTGTATGCTCCTCGCCACATGTAGATACCTGCTTATTTTAAGAACAAGCGTACTATGACTCAGTTTTGTCTCATAGTGTATTAGTTTAGGACACATGAGGACAAGAAGTTGAGGTTAGAGCTCCACAGGTGCAGCACAACTAACCAAAGTACTTGGTAATGGCATTGGAGTGCAGCAGAGATAAATAACCCCTGTGAGGGTGGCACGAGGCTGTTTAGACGCTTTGATTAAGACTTAAAACAATTTCCCAGTAAACTGGTCCGGCTCTATCAGGACGTTATTGTGGATATAATAATAAATGACCCTGCTTCTGCTTCTCTGTTGCAAAATCATTGCTTTAGGTTAGTTTGTCTGCCAACACAACTCGATCCATATCCAGTGTTTAGACACAATTAAAGATGTAACGATGTACAGCTATACTGATGATGCATGATGTCATGATCAGACCACCTCTCTCTTTCTCCGCTCGGTATTAATGGAGCAGCTGATGGCAGTTTGAGCACATTAATCCCTCCTACAGTATCTGCTCCCCTGATCATAATTAACCAGGCACTCAGGGTGCAGTTATACAGGATCCACCCACCAGTTTTTCACTCGCTGTCACCTCACTTCTCTCCTTTTCTGCATCGCAGACTCGTGTACACAAACCCACTCATTCAAAAACTGCAAACACGCACATGATGCTAATGACTCAAGGTCCTATGCCCTTTTCTATCTTTAATTATTTTGTGGGAAAAGAGGTGATAAACTCCGTATACTTTCCATCTAGCTTTACTGTTCAACACTTATTTATTTCACCCACTGCTGCTTCATCCCAGAGCACTGGAAATGACTCTATTCTGAGCTTAAGTGTTGGAAATCACACACACATGCATCAACATTCACACAAAGAGAGAACGCAAGCCGTGCTTTGCTTTGCTCTGCAGAACTATCCTCCCTACTCTGCACAGCAACACACACACACAAACACACATCCATACACACTAGCAGCAGCAGCACCAGGAGCACAGAGAGCGCCAGACAGACGCTAACAGCGCTCGCCTGGAAAACAACTGTGTTTGCGTGCATGTGCGGGTGGCGGTGTGTGTACGCCGAGCAGTCATGTCTGACACGGAGGATGGAGTTTTTGACGGAGCGTCCTTCTTCTCTCTGCAGTGCCCAGGATCGACGTCGCCCACGAGGAAACACAACAAGGAGACCACGGTCACGGTGAGTGGGGCAACTACTGGGAACTCTTAACTAACCATGAACTCACCCCAGAGCGCTACAATAGTCCCAAAGCACCAGCAGGGAGGAACTTGAGTCTTTATTTCTGAACTTATTAGCTTAAAAAATGCAGATGTCCCTCCTGGTGGACTTTTTATATCCAACCTCATGATTTCTGCATCATTTAAAATACATCAGTGCATATACTAACTAACTAAACCTTAACTGTATTGTAGCTGTAAATGCTTTTCATTTTCTCTTCAGGCTTGCTTTGGTTGTTTTTTGATCTGTCCGCTCCTGTGAGAAGTGTTCGATGCTTATTTTCAGTTGCTAGTGTACAGATACACAGTGACATCATCCTGTTCAGCATCCAGATGATTTCTCCTCTGCTGTCAGGTCATTACTTCCTGTTTGGCCTCACACTAGGAAAATAGCAGACGTCCTGCTCCCAGGAGGTCATGGATTAAGCCCAGGCTTTTATTTTCTCAGGATATATATATATGTATAAAAAACATGCTTGAAATGTAAGGGGGAGGGGGCATTTCTTGGCTTCCATAGCAACCAGAGCGATGCTATTGATAAGCAGATAGTTATAAGAGGAAACGGGAGTGAGAAAAGGGAGGTGAGAACAGCAACAGTCGATATCAAATAGCTACTACTGATGCCGTCTGCTGACAGCGAAGTCTTGAAGAGGTCAGGTGACCTTCAGAAAAGTCACGCTTCTCTTCTTGCACAGGAGATACACACTTTGCAGTGGTAGAGACCTGTTGTTTATCTTTTTGAACATCACAGTGAGGATAAAAGGATGAATAAATTAAAAAAAGATGAAGCTACATAAATAAGAAGTATTCTCATCACCAGACCAGTTTAGACTATAATACTATAAAACATGTTTCAGGAACAATATCAAATTTAGATTTAAGTTTTTAAGTGTGTACTTTGAAACATTGTTTCATTTTCAGCCCTCAGGCTGATGGGGCATTGTTGTCACTCTGCCAGGCGGGCAGGTGGGCGACGTCGATAAATGGCAGGATTGTCAACTTGATACTAGGGGTGGGGGAAAAAATGGATACTGTATAGTATCGTGTTACTTTGTTTGCTAATAATGTATCGATACAGGGACAGCAGAAATCGATATTTTGTTACAAAAAAGTAACAAAGAGCAAGAATCCTGACATTCCTTCACTGTCCAAATGTGTTTAACTTGTTTTTGGCAGCAATAAACATGACAGTTTACTTATTTTAATTTAAGACATGTTTTATTTTAATTAAGTTTAAAACTTTTTTATTTAATGTAAAATTATATTTTGTTTTAATTTACTTTCAAATTCTTCAGTTGCTGAAGGGGCTGCATAGTTTTCATAAACTGCATAGTTCAGAATAGCTATAATTGTACCAGATGGTTGATTCAGTTAAGTTGGACTAGACTGTAATACAAACCGTTCAGTTTGTCAACAATAAAACTGAAATGAGAGAAAGACTGAGTGTGAGACTTTGATATTAGATAAAATGAATATTGATAAAGTTTACCTTTATGTACAGAATCTGAATATCGCAAAATATTTTAAAAAATTGCAATAATATCGTATCGTGGGATGTATGGTGATTCCCACCTCTACTTGATACCATAGGTGTATCTACTAAAAATCTCAGACAAGTTCAAATCCCTGTCACCTCGGCCTCGAGGCCACGGTTAGAGATCAAGTTTTGATTGTAAATGCAATCAGTCGAAAAGGAAGATTGAATGATTAGCGAATCTACTGAAGCTGAGCTTTTATTTTTATAAGACAAAAAGTCTTTATTTTAGCATAACAAGAACAATTTGTCCAAGATTGCTGGATTGTAAAAAATCAAAACAAAGCAGTGCACACTGATTGTAAGCCTTATCACTGATACGGTAGTATTCAGTGACAGGATAACACCAAACACCAACCAATCCAGCTAATGACATGTTGTAACTCTTGGGCTCCAAAAGAACGTACGTTAGAAAACTAACAGATTATTGTGCTAATTACTGCACATGCTGTAACTTGTTCACTTATATTAAAGCAGATAAACACACGGTCGTCCATGTGTGACGCAGCAGAGTGAAAGCCAGCAACAATGCTGACAGCCAGGCAGTGATGCAATCAACAGCTTAATCTTAACTTTACCGTCTGCAGCAACTTGAAAAACTGTGTTCTTGAACAGTTTCTGATGTATTTTGCCCCAAATCCTTTTAAGCTGTGAGCGCTGTGAGTATGACCTGACCATTCAACCAGTGAAATTTGCCCCCTTAATGATGCTGGCAACTTTTCCGTCTTTGGCTTGTGACGATTACTCGATTGGGATCCATTGATGGCTTCTTGTAAACGTAGTGGAGTTTTTAGAAGAACTTTAATCCTATGAACATGCTACAAGTGAGTACTTATCTTTACACATTGTTACTAAACCACAATATTCAAAGAAAAGACACAGTTTGACTTCTTCAATTGTTTCTAGAAAAGAAGGATTTATTAAATCTAAAACCGTACTTGTTATTAATCTCTGGCTCTCGTCTACAGCATGTCTTTATCCTGTCTTACTTCTCTCACCCCAACCGGTCGCAGCAGATGGCCCCGCCCCTCCCTGAGCCTGGTTCTGCCGGAGGTTTCTTCCTGTTAAAAGGGAGTTTTTCCTTCCCACTGTCGCCAAAGTGCTGCTCATAGGGGGTCATATGATTGTTGGGTTTTTCTCTGTATGTATTATTGTAGCGTCTGGGTGCTGGTTTAGCTCAGTGCGTTGAGCAGCTGAGAGCGGACGGGTTCAAGTCTGGTCCACGTCCCTTTGCCGCATGTCTTCCCCTGCTTTCCTGTCCTTTCTTCACTGAGTCCATCAAATAAAGCTGAAAAAGGCCTTGAGGCGACTGTTGTTGTGATTTGACGCTGTATAAATTGAACTGAATTAAAAGTAAATCTGAAAGTTTATGAACTAAGTAAAACTTTAACATTCTGGAGTTGAGGTTTTCACATGTTGCATCATATTTTTGGTAACTTTACTTCTAGCTTTAAGACAACACCTTCAGAATTCTATAATTAGGTGGAGCTATGTGTCTGCCATCACACTGCTTCAAAATGTGAAGAAATCCCAATCTGTGCCCACTGTGAGTGTTAAGCTCAGACTGGATATTGCTGGGAGGAGGGGTAAGTTGTTAGGGTCACCAAAGGTCAGGAGAGAAAGTGCTGGAAGCAGTGCCTGTGTGTGTGTGTGTGTGTGTGTGTGTGTGTGTGTCTGTGTGTCTGAATTCAAACAAACTAAGCCTTTCATTGGATACTTAGTTGGAAGTCTCTTTGCCCTCATCTTCACCAAAGGAAAAGCAGGGGTCAGTTTAAAGCCCTGGTAGCTTTCAACCTCTGGACCTCCACAGCGATTAAATAGGAAGCCATTACTTCAAACAAATTATAAGCTTCATAAGCCAAGAAAAGGTTGAATTAGAGGCCCCTTTCTTCTAACTCATAGCATGTCAGAATATTGGCTCTGGAAAAGACATCAGCACAACCATATTTGTTGAATTCCCCTGAAAGGCGTGGCTTTGGTATTAGACCAGGGTGCCACTGAAGTTTGTTAAATAGCAACTGTGCATCATCGCTGCAGGCTGATTACCTCCTGAGGTTAATGGGAATGTGAGAGAAAGCTCCTGTTGTTTGCTCTGAAGTGAAAACTTGTGTCTTTATGTATGTCTTCACTGTGGAGACGTGTCTACTTTTTTGTGGGCTTCGTCTTTTCTGCTTCTTTTCTTGTGAGGATAAGTTGGCTTGACAGCAAGTGAATCTGCAGAGCGAAGTGTAGATTTTCATGGCAAAGCAACGTTTTTGTTCTGCTAAACCTAGAAGCGATGAATTGTCAAAGCAGCTGAGATCTGAGAATCTATTATACTGTGTGAGTTCACTCCTGAAAGCGGTGAGGTTACCTGTGGTTGTCTGCTACCTTTCCACACTAGTGGAAAAGTTTGGAAAAAAACAAACAAAAAGAGCAAAGAGTAGTAGAGCATCATCAGTTGTGTGCAGTCCCTCTGCTTATGAGTGCTTCACAGCAGGGAGACTTGAAGCCAACAAACTCAAGAACACTGCTGCTGACAATTTGCGACGCCGCGATAATTAAAGGCAATCTTCCGGAATCCATCCCACTGATTGCTCTGAAACCAGAGCAGAGCAGAGAGTGTCGGGCTGTAGAGCAGAACAATGTATCCTCAAAAAAGCTAAGAACCACAATGGCGCTGTGTTGACAATGCTGTCCCTGAGGACAGCGAGCGCTGAAAAAAGTAAACGAACAATGTCAGCTTGACTGTAAATGTTTGGGCTTTTTTCACATCGGCATCTTCTCATAGCTGCACGGATGAGAGAGGGTTGCCAGAGCAACAGAGCACGCGCTACCTTGAATAGCACTGCAGGTGTATGTGTGAGAGAGTGCGCGTGCACGTGTGAACTGCCTGTCAACACAAGGAGCAATAACAGGTGTGTGAAATCAAAGTTATTCGTCATGATCCCATAAACTGCCCCGTTAAACTGCGCTCGCTCCCCCCTCTCTCCTGCAGATCAACTGTGTGACGTTCCCATCACCCGCCTGCATGCCCGAGCAACAGCTACTGAAACCCAGTGAATGGAGCTACTGTGACTACTTCTGGGTAAGTTTACCTGAGAAGTAACTATTTTCTATAGATCAAGTCCAGAACCTTTAAAAACACAATCTTTTCATGATTTTAATTTTTATATAGAAAGATTTGTAGTTGACCATCCTTACGTGTCCATGTTATGAGAAACAACACTGGATCCTCTTCATCTTGCATCGTGATTTCATATTTTTGTCATCCTGGCCCAACTGCACGCTGAGAATCAGTATTAGCTTTAATAACATCCAAGACACAGCGCAGCAGGAAAACCCATTACATGTAACTGGCTGGAGCACAGTGAGGCCAGCTGGCCTCAGCTGCTCTGTTTGGACATCTCCTTCCCCTGCAGTGTAATTTCTACCAGGTGCAGTTTGTGTGGTAACACACTGTAATCACAAACACAGGTGACAATGCAGTAGAAAGAAAGAGAGAGTGGAGGAAGTGGATGGGAGAGTCCAGGAACGTCTGGTTTTCTGTAAAATGTGCAGTTCCCAAAATTCAGGATTATCTGTTCTCTGAGCTGAGTCAGTTTGTCATGTATGGTGTAGCTCCCAGTCTACTGACTGCTTTCTGCAATTAAAGCTGTACGCACTGTCCAATGTTTAAGTGATTTCTAACAGGCTTTAGAAGACGTTAAGAGACTTTAGACACAGTTTTAAATATAGCCTGTATATAAAAAAAAAGGTACAACTCAGCATTCATTGAAATAGCTACTACAATATTGTGCGTTGTCGTGACCAACACTGAAGATGTAGTCCTGCTGTCCTGTTGACTGTCTAGCCATCGCAGTCTTAGCTAGCATCGTCTGCTTGCTGTCTAGCTCACTATCAAATGTCATTTTATTATGTTCTCCATTAAAACTCTAAAAAGTTAAGAAACACAGTCCTAATCAAGTGTTTTCAATCCAATATCAATTTCATTTTTAAAGCGCTCAATCTTTTAGTTCAAGGCGCTTCATACTGTGGGGTAAAGACCCTGCAATAATACAGAGAATACCCCAACAGTCAGACGAATCCTCATGAGAAAGCACTTGGCGACAGTATTCTAGGGTTTTACTGTTGGGGTAGTCAACGAAGACGACTTCAAACCTCAAAAGGTTCGTGTCAGTTGAAAAAACAGGATGAATGGATGGATTGGTCATCCCGTGGATGCTGGGCATCGGAAATATTTATGTACTGTATCTGCTAAGGCAGCGGTCCCCAACCCCCGGGCCTCGGACCGGTACCGGTCCGTGAGTCGTTTGGTGCCGAGCCGCGAGAGTTGAGGCTCAGGTGTGAAATGTATAGTTTTCAGGGTTTTTATCGGTTTTCAGCGTTATTTTGTTATCGTTTTTATCGGTTACTCGGTTTTCCTGGGTCTTTTCACGTGTGTTATGAATAAATTTTCTTTTTTTCGGTACCGGTACTAGTTTTATTTTGTTGTATTTATCCGCGACACCTTAAAGGCCGGTCCGTGAAAATATTGTCGGGCATAAACCGGTCCGTGGCGCAAAAAAGGTTGGAGACCGCTGTGCTAAGGTAAGCTTTAAGGTTCTTAGTGCCAGCGCACTTTTAGAAGCATGTTACATGTCGTCCCTCTCTACATTTTTACTCATGTCATTGTAACCAATGATTAAGAAAAACATGACTTGCATTTTAAGGTGCTATTTGCTGCAGTGAGTGAAGTGCTCACCCCAAGACGAGATAGCATACAGTGGATATGTGACATTAGAGCAACATAGTACAGCTGGAGGAAGTGAAACCAAGATAGAAGTTAAAATACTCTCTGCTAAAAAACTTGGTGCTTGGAAGGTAATATCCAACTAGTTTAGGAAACACATGTCCAGCAGCTGTTTGCAGAAAACAGCTGGTGCGAGCTCTGATAAAGCATTGTAGCAACAGCAATGCCATCGACATGGTAACGAAATTGGTGGTCGGAGACAAAAGTACAATCAGAATTATTGTGACTGTGTGCAATGAATTAGAAGACGGTTAGCAAATCCGACTGCTCAGAGTGATACAGCAGTAATAAAACTAAGCCTGTTATCTGTTTGTTACCAGTTAGTGACTGAATAGCATCTGTTTGTGATAATATTGCAAGAAATTGTGAAAAATCATTAATTTGCATTATATGCATGATATTCATTATGCATATAATGATCATATTAATCATGCATATAATGATCATATCCATCATAATATTACATTGTTATTTTGATGGTCACTGCAACTATTTGCAACTGGTTGCCAATCACCAACAACTCATTTTACTAAGTCGCAAGACGGCTTTTTGCTCTGATGTGACAGAGCCATGAATAAGTGAGCAGAAAGAAGCTAAAATGTCTTTTGAAGGTGAAATTTTTCACAGAAAGATTGAAGAATGAGGACGATGGTGGCAGAATAGCGCTAATCAAAAAGGGTTCTACAGTTTTCAGTGAAGCCACCTGATTCAGTTTCCTCTGGTGTCATCTCTTTGAGGGAGCATGCAGCATGTTGTTTATTTTACTTAGCAACTTTGTTGAGGTCTAATGTTCACGTGTGCGTTGCTAAGCGTTTGTTTATTCACTGCATTTCTCGTGTGTTCGCCTTGTTTATCTCGTTAGGCTGATAAGAAGGATCCCCAGGGCAACGGCTGCATTACAGGATTTGAGGTTTTGCTGCAGAAACAGCTGAAGGGGAAACAGATGCAGAAAGAGATGGCCGAGTTCATTCGAGAACGGTATCTGCTACGTTCACTTTTTTACTGTTTCGTTTTGTTCACACTTCGTCCTCGGGTTACTGTGACAACCATACAATTGTCATTAAAAACAAACCATTTCTCCTTTTTTCGTGCTTGCTCTTTCATGTACATCAGTGCATTGCACAATAAAGGAAATGAACATGGAAACATTGTTGCGTACATGCCGTGTGGTAATCACCCTCTACTTCCTTCTCAGGATAAAGATAGAAGAGGAGTACGCTAAGAATCTCTCCAAGCTCTCACAGATCCCTCTAGCAAGCCAGGAAGAAGGGTGAGTGGCTGTGAAGAAGAAAGACACACAACCTGCCCCATCACAGAGCACCCTGTCACACATGTGTGCATGGATCAATATATTAAAAAAAAGCCACATGTCAACATTTGAAAAGCACTGTGCCAGGCTTCTCACTTTGAAGCTGCTTTAGAGTTGTGCAGGTTGTAAGTACCGCGTTTATGCTCCCTCCTTAACAGTGTATTCTGAAATTTTATTGCACAATAGAGGGTACATCACTTTAAGATATTTCAGCTTTAAACATTAGAGCTGGTTTAAATTAAGTAATTTACAATGACAGTGAAGTTTGCTGATAATTTATCCCCTACATATATTACATGTAGGATACAATAAACATAAAGTAAGGTAGGTAGGTTAGGTAACAAGCTTATACACCTACTTACTCTTAGCTCATGTGCTGATCAGGTAACTGTCACATCAAAATTGCAGAGTGTTTAAAACTATACAAATGTGAATTTTATTTCTTAGGAATCAACTTGTCCCTTATAATTATTTTCACCTATTTTATACTTTTGTACTCAGTTTCCACAATCGAGCTTTAAAGTCTGCCATGAGTGATATTGCTAGGTGTAAATTGCCGAATTAGTCGGCCAATTAGACAATCCAGCAGACAGCTCCTCAGTGAGCAAGCCAATCAAGTAGCCAATCGCGCGAGACATCCCGGTGTGAGCTGGAGTCTGGAGGCCCTGTCAGTGAACCTGTGAAGCAATAAGACCATCCTGTAAAACCACTGCATGCTTTGATCTCCATCCTGCAACACATTCCAGCTATTAAAGGAAAGCACAGGAGAGGAGACACAGACGCATGCGAAGAGAGGGGGGGTGTTAGGAGATTGAAGGGGAGAGGGGAGGGGAAGGTGTGAAGCCCTGCTGGGGGAAAGAGAGTTTCCAGCCACTCCTCTTTTATCCTGTTTGACAACACACAGGATATCATGCTGAGGTGAGAGCAGCTCTTTGTCTGATTCACCGAGGGCACACAGGAATATGTATGTGAATCTCTTAACCTCAGCCTTTAATAGAAGCTCAGGGGTTAACGCAAGTTAAACTGCTGATTATTTGATGTTCACACTATCTAAATACGGATGAAGCACAATTTTTATTCAAATTATGATACATGGGCCACGATGAAAGATTGCAGTGGCAATATAGGGCAGCAGAATCCTCAGCTAATAAGAAACTAATCACACAAACAAGGAATTTGTTGTGTTGCAAAAAGCCAGTGGTGCAGAGAAAGACTATAAATTATACAAATACTTAGGAAATATTAGCATTGCAGATAATTCATAAAATTATCCTAAAATATAATGTTAAATAATTACATGATACCTAAATTAAAAACTATTTTACAGTTCATGTGTTGTTTTTGTAAAGTTTGATTTGGTTTTTAGGCACTAAAACTAAGCAGAACTGCTCTTCTAAGATGGTTTACAATAACTTGCAGTTTCCTACTTTGCCAGTGATGTAACTTTGATTTTTTGTAACTTTTCTTGCCTAATCTCAGTGTAAGTCTTTATGTGGTGCAACTACAAGTCTTTGGCTTGAAAACAACGTGGAAGTACCTCTAACTTGGATTCCTATTAATGGCCACCAGATGGCGAGACATCTGGTTCCTAAAAGACTTCCAGTCCTAAAGAGTTCTGGGAGAAAATGGCCCGCAGACTTTAAAACTTTATGATGTCAGTCACTCACTTTGAGTCGTACTGAATAAAGCATTGTCCATGTTGCTAATTTCAGTCATTCAAGGTTTCAGAAAAGAAGATTATACAAGAAACCCTCAGTGGCTTATGACTTGTGATTGACAGTGAGTGTGATAAGTAATAAGTGTGCACCATCTTTTTTGTTTGTTAGATCTGGTTTGAAAACACCAAGATGATGATGCCAAAAAATGCTTGAGGCTTCAAAACAGGAACTTTAATAATTCATAAAAAGTTTTATTTAGAAAAAAAGTGACTTTAAAACTTGCTGGCAGAATACCTGTACAAGAGTTGTGTCTTTCTTTAAATATTACAGGCAAAAACAAATCACTCAGATTAATACATGAATGTGTGTTGTTGCTGATTTGGTTGCTAATGTTAGCTACCATTAGCTAGCTAACATTCTAGCTAACTTTCAGCTTCTTCTAGACTTGAGCTAGCATATTTTGAATTCAGCAAAAATAACATAGGCTGAAAAATATTGGACACTTTATTTGACATTATTGTCATTTCTATCAGACAAAGAAAGAAACTGTACACGGATGTAAGGGGGGCTTAGCTACACTTACCCTCCCTTTCAGTGTTTACATGCATATAAGATAACCCCTCTTCATGCTAGGATGGTAACAGAGTGGGATGGAATTGTCCCATATAGAATCCAGATTATGCCAGCCAGCTCAGTCTGCCCACACCCACAAAAGTGCAACACAATGCTTTCATTATACCGTCCCTAAGGCTGGCTCTGTTGTCACACAGAACAATCACTGTTTTGTTGGTCGGTTCCTACCATCCGACCAGCCGCAGCCCAGAACCAGCCATCTATTTATTCCTGAATTTGCTATTTGTTTGGTGGGGATGTGAGGCATGTGACCATTTTTTTTTTTATAGTTACCAATACTGTACTATGCTGAATGAGGAAGTGCATGGCAAGAGATTAATTTTCCCTGAGATGCAGCATTTTGTTGCCAAGTGACTGTCACTTGGGAATGCAAAATTGCAAGCACATGACACATATAATTTATTGAGTGTGAAGAATGTTTGAAGTGGTGCAGCTTTTCCAGTTTGGAATCATAATATCCAGATTCCTCTTAGTTCAAGGTTTGTCTTTCATCTGATGACTTTTTAAGGTGGAAAGATACTGCATCTGTATGAGCTGTCAATCTGGTCTATATTGAGCAAAGAATAATAAAATAGCCTTCTTGCGTGTAGAAAAGGAGTGTTTTCAAGCTTATACAGTGGGGCAAAAAAGTATTTAGTCAGCCACCGATTGTGCAAGTTCCCCCACTTAAAATGATGACAGAGGTCAGTAATTTGCACCA